AGTTTTTTCCAACATTTTGTCATATCTCACGAACTATTGAACCAATTGAGCTGAAACTCAGCGCGTTGTGCTCAGCAGGTTGGGTTTGACCGAATAGCACTATTTGCTGCAATGTGCAAAAATAAGTTTTTCCAACATTTTGTCATATCTCACGAACTATTGAACCAATCGAGCTGAAACTCAGCGCGTTGTGCTCAGCAGGTTGCGTTTGACCGAATAGTACTATTTGCTGCAATGTGCAAAAATAAGTTTTTTCCAACATTTTGTCATATCTCACGAACCATTGAACCAATCGAGCTGAAACTCAGCGCGTTGTGCTAAGCAGGTCGCGTTTGAGCGAATAGCGCTATTTGCTGCAATGTGCAAAAATAAGTTTTTTCCAACATTTTGTCATATCGCACGAACTATTGAACCAATCGAGATGAAACTCAGCGCGTTGTGCTCAGCAGGTTGCGTTTGACCGAATAGCACTATTTGCTGCAATGTGCAAAAAATAAGTTTTTTCCAACATTTTGTCATATCTCACGAACTATTGAGCCAATCGAGCTGAAACTCAGCGCGTTGTGCTCAGCAGGTTGCGTTTGACCGAATAGCACTATTTGCTGCAATGTGCAAAAATAAGTTTTTCCCAACATTTTGTTATGTCTCACGAAGTATTGAACCAATCGAGCTGAAACTCAGCGCGTTGTGCTCAGCAGGTTGCGTTTGACCGAATAGCACTATTTGCTGCAATGTGCAAAAATAAGTTTTTTCCAACATTTTGTCATCTCTCACGAACTATTGAACCAATCAAGCTGAAACTCAGCGCGTTGTGCTCAGCAGGTTGCGTTTGACCGAATAGCACTATTTGCTGCAATGTGCAAAAATAAGTTTTTTCCAACATTTTGTCATATCTCACGAACTATTGAACCAATCGAACTGAAACTCAGCGCGTTGTGCTCAGCAGGTTGCGTTTGACCGAACAGCACTATATGCTGCAATGTGCAAAAATAAGTTTTTTCCAACATTTTGTCATATCTCACGAACTATTGAACCAATCGAGCTGAAACTCAGCGCGTTGTGTTCAGCAGGTTGCGTTTGACCGAATAGCACTTTGCTGCAAATGTGCAAAAATAAGTTTTTTCCAACATTTTGTCATATCTCACGAACTATTGAACCAATCGAGCTGAAACTCAGCGCGTTGTGCCCAGCAGGTTGCGTTTGACCGAATAGAACTATTTGCAGCAATGTACAAAAATAAGTTTTTTCCAACATTTTGTCATATCTCACGAACTATTGAACCAATCGAGCTGGAACTCAGCGCGTTGTGCTCAGCAGGTTCCGTTTGACCGAATAGCACTATTTGCTGCAATGTGCAAAAATAAGTTTTTTCCAACATTTTGTCATATCTCACGAACTATTGAACCAATCGAGCTGAAACTCAGCGCGCTGTGCTCAGCAGGTTGCGCTTGACAGAATAGCACTATTTGCTGCAACGTGCAAAAATAAGTTTTTCCAACATTTTGTGATATCTCACGAACTATTAAACCAATCGAGCTGAAACTCAGCGCGTTGTGCTCAGCAGGTTGCGTTTGACCGAATAGCACTATTTGCTGCAATGTGCAAAAATAAGTTTTTTCCAACATTTGGTCATATCTCACGAACTATCGAACCAATCGAGCTGAAACTCAGCGCGTTGTGCTCAGCAGGTTGCGTTTGACCGGATAGCACTATTTGCTGCAATGTGCAAAAATAAGTTTTTTTCAACATTTTGTCATATCTCACGAACTATTGAACCAATCGAGCTGAAACTCAGCGCGTTGTGCTCTGCATGTTGCGTTTGACCGAATAGCACTATTTGCTGCAATAAGTAAAAATAAGTTTTTTCCAACATTTTGTCATATCTCACGAACTATTAAACCAATCGAGCTGAAACTCAGCGCGTTGTGCTCAGCAGGTTGCGTTTGACCGAATACCACTATTTGCTGCAATGTGCAAAAATAAGTTTTTCCAACATTTTGCCATATCTCACGAAGTATTAAACCAATCGAGCTGAAACTCAGCGCGTTGTGCTCAGCAGGTTGCGTTTGACCGAATAGCACTATTTGCTGCAATGTACAGAAATAAGTTTTTTCCAACATTTTGTCATATCTCACGAACTATTGAACCAATCGAGCTAAAACTCAGCGCGTTGTGCTCAGCAGGTTGCGTTTGACCGAATAGCACTATTTGCTGCAATGTGCAAAAATAAGTTTTTTCCAACATTTTGTGATATCTCACGAACTATCGAACCAATCGAGCTGAAACTCAGCGCGTTGTGCTCAGCAGGTTGCGTTTGACCGGATAGCACTATTTGCTGCAATGTGCAAAAATAAGTTTTTTCCAACATTTTGTCATATCTCACGAACTATCGAACCAATCGAGCTGAAACTCAGCGCGTTGTGCTCAGCAGGTTGCGTTTGACCGAATAGCACTATTTGCTGCAATGTGCAAAAATAAGTTTTTTCCAACATTTTGTCATATCTCACTGAACTATTGAACCAATCGAGCTGAAACTCAGCGAGTTGTGCTCAATAGGTTGCGTTTGACCGAATAGCACTATTTGCTGCAATGTGCAAAAATAAGTTTTTTCCAACATTTTGTTATATCTCACGAACTATTGAACCAACCGAGCTAAAACTCGGCGCGTTGTTCTCAGCAGGTTGCGTTTAACCGAATAGCACTATTTGCTGCAATGTGCAAAAATAAGTTTTTTCCAACATTTTGTCATATCTCACGAACTATTGAATCAATCGAGCTGAAACTCAACGCGTTGTGCTCAGCTGGTTGCGTTTGACCGAATAGCACTATTTGCTGCAATGTGCAAAAATAAGTTTTTCCAACATTTTGTCATATCTCACGAACTATTGAACCAATCGAGCTGAAACTCAGCGCGTTGTGCTCAGCAGGTTGCGTTTGACCGAATAGCACTTTTCGCTGCAATGTGCAAAAATAAGTTTTTTCCAACATTTTGTCATATCTCACAATCTATTGAACCAATCGAACTGAAACTCAGCGCGTTGTGCTCAGCAGGTTGCGTTTGACCGAACAGCACTACAATCATGGAAATAATATCCGTAGACTTTTTTAAAACGCATCTTGCCTTACTATTTTGTAAAGCCATTTTATTTTTAGTTAATACAAACGTCCATGATCGCTAGAAATAGTAACTCCCCCCTCCCCCTACCACAATGTTGGTTCAAACCATGGTTATTGGACCACAAACCAACATTGTAAACGGGGAAGGGGGAAATTGGGAGATTTTTGAAAAGTCTACGAATTGCTCTTCCGATCTCTATAAAAATACGGCACTTAGTCATTTTCGACCCGAAACAAAGGTTACTATATTATAATACCTGATTCTCTTTTTGACTGAAATTACTTTATTTACCATGTGCAAGGTTGCTGTGTACTTTTTTTTGGGGGGGGAG